GAAAAACGAAAAGAAAAATCTTGCAAAACTGGCAAAACACAGAGTGTAGAAAAAATATTGCTAATTCATATGACATCAAATTCATCTAGAAAAGATTAAATCATGCTCACTTCTCTAAGTAGCAGAGCAATAATTTGTGCAGTAGCTCTGCCATCACCCCCTCCTGAGTTCCTATTGGGCTATCCCTTAGGAGGGTGTCCAGAAAATGTTGTTGGATAGTAACCGTTTTATGTGCTGATCACATTCCAATCTTTTGAAAGGTCAGATGTCCTTCTGTCTACTCAATCTAAAACTTAGCTGAGTTTCAAGGGCAGATATTACAGCACTCAATGTGTGTTTCTTCCATTTGTGTGGGGGTGGTTCTGGCTTTGAGGGTTGACACCCCCCCCCCCCAAGAACAATATTGCAACAAAAGATTAAACTTTTGTCACTTTTAACATAATTTTTTATCAAGATCTGTGGGCAATTGAAATTATGTCGATTTAGTCCCAAAAAAAAATAAAAAATGTTTGCATTCAAAGAAGAATGTAGTTGACATGTTCTTTTTTGTAATGAAAATTGAAATTGTGTGTATTATTCTGATAATGTATTTGATTTTTATATAATATGACTAAATTAACTTTTGGAGTGCCAGATATTTTCCCGCCGAAATTCAGTGCAAATATTTTTACAGTATATAAAATTGTTTAAATTTCATCATCATTTTGTTGTTTTAGTTTTTGATCAAAAATTGTGTCAATTTTTATCAACATTTCTTGTGGGGGAGAAGCAGATCGTATGAAATCATTTTGTGAATAGTGTCAACAGTTTACTATATTCCGAAAGGGTTAAATTTTCCACAGAGGAAAATATCGAATGTGTTGAGAATATGAGAGTGACAGACCGGCATAATTACACAGTGCACTATGGTACTACTGGGAATGATGTATTATGATATGCTACCAATATATGGGGGTGGAGTGGGAGTTCTTTTTTTTATCTAGTTTCCATGTCCAGAATTTTGAATAATTGATGTAGCATAGAACAAGCTGCTAGATCTGAAACGCTATATCATCTATGTGTAGCATGTTGATTTTATGCTTTGAGACACAGAGGACACACCGAGCCATTCATATTACATGAGCATGAAGACAGTTAACAGTTTGATTCGTGTATGATTTGTGTATGATTGACGTTCAATTCATACTTCTATTGAAACACGTATAATTCACGCAAATGTTCGTATATAGCAATTTGAGCCAATGTATTTTTTTTGACATGATAGCAGTAATTGTACAGTCAACAATGAGTTCAAAATTATAAACTGCATTCAAAACTAAACATGAAGGGAATTTCGTAATTCTATTATATGTTAGGGATGTTTTTTTCAAATAATTGCATCAACAAGGTTTATTATTTTCGTGAAACGTTCAAAATTGAATTTATTAAATGAACAAGCAAATTTATGTATGAAATAATAAAGTGTCCGATGTCAACAATGAATAAAACATTTATAAATGTTTGACTGAATGCTTACAAGTGGTAATAGTTGAACCCCTCTGAAATCCTTGTCAGTTGTTTTGATTAGCTGTCACGTAGGCCTGTATGTAACTTTTTTGCGTCTACATTGGTCACTTGAGCATCTAGGAAAGTGTCTGGTAATTGCTCACCAGGTGTGAGAGTTTGGTATATGTGTATCTTGTGCCCACTGTATCACCACAAACAAAGCCTAGTGACAGAAATTCACCACTGCCCAAGAGTACATCTACACTTTTAACAATGATTGCAAAAGACTATAATCAAGTTGAAAGTGACTTATTATGTATTTAAACAAACATGAGCTAACTTTGTGTAGGCTCCCTCTAGTGGCAACATTGACTAATTAAAATTATGTTATGAAAATCATATTATCAAACATTTTTCTTTAAAAGAAAGCAGGTACCTCTGCATTTAGGTTTTTTCAACTTATTAAATTATGTCATGACAATCATCGATCAGTCCTCAGATCATGTGTCCTTGTTTTCATAATATGATTAATTCTCTCATCATACCACTAGAGGGCAGTGTTTTGATTGTATGCTGAGAATGATATCTTTGTTCTGTTTCTCCTATTTGGCATTTTCTTTTCTCTAATTATATTTATCATGTGATTAGAATCTGTTTAAAGTAATTTATTAATTAATGCTATGAATAAACCATATTTTTAATTGAACTATAATTGTTTTATAATTCTAATAGTATAATGGAATTAATCCCATATTTGTATTGATTTTTAGCTAAAAGAAAGGAAATTAATAACATTGATAAATCACCAAATTGACCTTCAGGGTTTGTCTGATAAATTGCCACATGGACAAACCCCATAGTGTTGACTGTAGGACACCTTAGGTGACTCATTATTCAGACAGACTGACCAGTCAAGCTGGTGTGAAAAATTCTCTTCTATCACAGATACCAATTTATTCTGTAATGTTTGTATATTTTGCTGACATGACAAAAAAGACAGCCATATTGTTAAAATGTGATAGGCTAGGTGGCTCATTCAATAGACCACCTGTTACCAGTTCTATTGAGTTCATTGAAATTCAGAGTAAACCATTATTATTGAAGGGGTTTAGACTTAAAAAAATATGATGAATTTTCAGCTCAAATAAGGCTGACTGACACAATTGAAATTGAGCTTATTATTCTCTTGTTTGGTAATAATATGTTGACTGGTACAGCAGTTTCTATTATTTTTATTTTTTTTTAATACTGTATGGTAGTGTCTTGGTCACCATCTTTAGCTCCCGAAACAAACCCTTTTTAACTGTACGGTAAATTCAACATTGAAATGGTACCCGTACTTTATATCTGTGTTTGATTGAAACATTACAATGTTGATTTAACATTTCTAACTCTGTCCATCCACCAACCACAACAGTCAAAGCTATATATTTATTGGTTCAAATAATAGTAATAACATATATAGTAATACCAGAGTATTTCTACACCAGGTTTATATCGCCTATCATTGGTCCATCAGCTATAAAGCATTGAAATGAATGTAGCAATTCAACGTAAGATTATACTTTTTTTTAGATTATCACTCGAACGGTATTCATTCCGTCATACAGTTGAGATAGCAATAGTTTGAAAAAAAAAAAAATTTTTTTTTTTCATTGCCGCTCACTGCCGCAGCCGGTTGGTATTTCCTATGCACATTATTATGTTAATTTTTTATCTGTTGCTTTGTGGGTGTGTATCGGTGTCATTGATACGGCTGACTTTTCATGCTGTTCACACATGACACATGTCATTGAGAGTAGGAGATTAAGATCTCCGTTCATCAAACTCATCAACACACCAGTCCAGTTAAAATGCCAAGAAGTGATTTCCGGACTCTTTTATAAATCCACCGGAGGAGAAGGAGGCGATTTCGCCATGCCGGATATGGACACTATTCTGACAACTACGCCACAGATTAATTTCCAGCTTCTTCACTCGGAGGATATTCGTCCGGACCGACTCAAAATCTGGCCTACACCATGTGGGTATCTTAACTGTCAGTGCGTCATCTACGAAACTGTTAGAAATTACGATATTGTCGATGATACATTTGACAATAGAGAAGGTGCTGTGAAAGCCGGTTTCATTTGTTGCCGGCCACCCCCATCCAAGGTATGTGATTAAAATTAATTGTAATATGTGCGAATTTGAATTTTTTTTTTCTGATAGGAAGACACCCTTCTTGATTTGGAGAATTCAGCACAGATATTCAACGCACTTTCTGATATTCCAGGGGAAATTGATGATGTCGATAAGCTGATAGAGGTACGGTATCTTATAATAAATTAATTATATTATAAATTACGTGCAAATTCATAACTCTTAATAGTCGCTTGACGGCAACCACACATGTAACACTCCCATCATTTTTTTTTTCATTCAAAAAATTATTTAGAAAGGGCAAAATTAATACAGAAATCCAACAAAGATTTAGGAATATTTAATTCAAATAAATGCCTGTTTGATGTATTATTTTATGCTTCGTTTTAACATTTTTTCTAATTGGTTACCTTGTGTTGCTATGTAACCCACTGGGCTATGATAGCATATTTTGTCTGAAAAAATGGCTATTATTTTATTGTACACATGTAATGGAAAAATATGTTCTAGTGTGGCAAACATAAATGAGTATAGTGTAAACAATCAGCACTTCAATGAGTATTGATTGTGTTAATAAAAATTACACTTGTATGTGTAAATGGTGTTTTACTGTGGGAATTCTGGTGTTGTGTTGAAAAATTGTCCCCCATGATTCAATTGCAAGTATTCATTTTACTGTGATTTTTGATGTGACAGCAGACACGGG